TGGATGCAATAAAACTGCTCTAGTGATCTTAAAGAAAATATATAAACATCTTAAAGCTATTAAAAACATGCCACTGTAAAACAGTTACTAAGAGCAACATCTGCAGATAAGCAAGCATAGAAGTAGACGGTATTGGATATCTCCTTCAAATTCTTTAAAAAGGGACTACCTCTCTTTTTCACAGACGAGCACGAAGTTTCCCATATTTCAAGCCTGTTTTGGGAACTGGATTTCAAATGACATAATAGTGTATGAAAAATATTGGGGGCATACAGAATCTTATTTAGAAATGCATATGGTTGCTTTTTTAAATTACTTTTTCAGTTATTCAGGCTTGCACAATCTAAATTGCGTGAGCAAAGGAATAGTTTAGATCCTCCCCTTGTTTCCACTTTGTCTTGCTTGCCGCTATACCCCTTGGGAGACACAGATTCTACTGTAGCCAGGGCAGGATTCTTCAGAAGGGCATTTGACTCCAGCCTGCCAGTGACAGTGCAAACACCATCACACTAACCAGTTGGCCTGTTGCTGCACTTCATATTCTATTCACAGTGGCAAACCATAAGCACTGAATCCAATGGCAGCAGTACACAGCCAAAAGGACCAAGATGGAAAGACTAGCATCATTTTCTGGCATCCAGCAACGGAACAAACCTGCTGCATAGAGAAGTGGCAGGGGCCCTGTGTCCCACAGTATCTCCACTATGCACAGAGACAAAAAGCCTCCGTGACTCTCACCACTGGGCAAGATCATCCAGGCTGCACAGAATAAAGCTTAAAATCCATGTAGCCAGCAGCTCTATCAATATTACCTGGATATTCCAATAGTTGTGGGGTGTTTTTAATATTCATGAAGATTTAAGTTCAGACAATCATTCTGTTCTATCAATTTTTTTTGCATGTTCAAAGATAACTCAAAATCTAGATGAGGTAGCTTTAAGAATAAAGAACTATCTCCCAAAAGGGAGATAATACTTGTGCCCCGTAACAGACTTGAACTTGCAATCACTTCACAGGTGTGAACAGAGATGTTCAAATTGGACCAAAAAGCTCTCTCCCACTGTAAAAGAAGAGCTTTTCTAATACTGAAGCTGCCTGCAGTAGATTAGTCTTTTGGCATCAGTAGAAAAGTATTTTCAGTAATGACCCTCCTTGACAGGAAAAAAAACAATCTTAAAAACCTTCACAAACACCTTTCTTTCATGTTTACTCATTGAATCAAGCTAGCTGTTTCACAGGGTCAGACAACCTCAAAGCCAAGCATCTCGTATGTAAAATCAAAAGCAACATCAACCTCCTTATGAGGTTGACACCATGACACTTCTTCCTTTTCAGCACAAAGCTCACATAAAATAATTTGTTCAAGCATTATTTTAAATTACATATTTAAAATAAACCAGTGTCAGGCACCTTGCAAATAAATCAATAGCTTTCTGTAACTATCATGTGCAGTCTCAAAGCAAGGGAGATGGGATGACCAACACAGTCACATCTTAGGAGAGGGAGGCAGACACACAGTGCAATCTCAGAAGATCATGCTTCTTTCTTTTGTATCGGGCTAAAATAGTTTGTAATTATGAAATTGAACATAAATCAAAAGGTCTACCTAGGACAAGATTAAATTTGCAAAAGGTAGCTACTTTTTTTAAATAAAGTTTTGAATTTAGAAATGCCTGATTTAGCAAGCTACTTTTTCTCAAGGCAGTTTTGTAATTTTTGTAATGTATTACTGATCTCCTTTCAGATCCTTCAGCATAAGCAAAATAATGACACTTAACCAAGTATAAGTAAACCGATCTTTTAAAGTCACAGCCTCGATTGACTTGAGATAATTGGATTACTCCACCATTAACCCAGAAGAATAACACAACTAGAATACAGATAAAGAAGGTTAAGAGTAAACATTATTACAAAAAGCTCCCAGAATTTATGTCTTTTTTTCTGTTATGCAGAGGACAGTGACATACATTTATTCCTAGTTAAGAAAATTACAAGTGTTATTTTATACTACCTGGTTTTGACAGTTTAATTTTCACATCCTTGCATACACACATGCAAATTATTAATAATTTTTAAATAATGTTTTACCAAAGTTATGTCTTGTGATTTTAAAAACTTTAAAAAACTGCACTTAAAGTAAAAAAAAACAAACCAACTTTTTTTCTACGTTCTAGCTGTGGTCTTTCCATTAAAACTTTTTAGTCTAAAAAATACCATTCCAGTAATTAAAAATGCATCCCCCTGTGCAATGTCATTCAGAACATATTAAAAATATGTCCTTACCTTTTCAGCAGCCATAAAAGAAAGATGCGTGGAAGCAAACTGCTTTTAGGAAATGAGTAGTGCTGTTATAATTTATTTGTCTTTCCTTAACTTGAACTGGTGGTTGTTCTCCGCCCCCTTTCCTTCCTTTGCACACCAAAATTAGACTGACTTAAGTACAGAGGAGCATCCCCAAAACAGCTAAAAGTACACTCAAGGAAGAGCTCTACTCTTATGACAGCTTTTGCCAAGTCTCTGGTGTTGTTACCAGCAACAGCAACTAGCAATCAAAGATAAGTTATTCTTATTTCATTTTAACATTAAAACACATGAGTTGAGCATTAAAAAGAGTCTAAACAGAAGAGACTATAAAAGCTGATTGATATCATCAAAATATGCTCAGTCTTCCAGCTACACACAGGAAGAGAAGTGGCTTTCAGTTATACATCATTTCTTTTTCTGATACTACAGATGTGAAAACTCTACTAACCTCAATGTCCCCAGCACTAACACAGAAAACCCTGCTTGTATCATAAACAGTTTTATCCTGGAAACAAAAGCTTTCCATTCAGGTCTGAATGACAAAGCAACTACCAGAGAAAAAAAAACAACAACTTAAAATAATTCATTTTTTATGCATCTTCAAAAAAAAGAAAACTGTTTTACCTCACAATTGGAAATCTGATCTCAGATAACAACTAAAATAGGATTTGGACTGGATATCCCAATTCAAACTATTGTACAATCATGTGTGAGTAATGAAGTTCAAAATAGCATCCAATAACCTCATTAAGTTAAACAGGTTCAAACACCTCCACCTGTGCCTGTCAAGTTTAATCACTTTCTTCAACTGTGTCACTGAAGAGAAAGCAATTGGCACAGAGCTAAAACAACAAAGAATATTTGGATTTGAGCCTTTAACTAAGTGAAAGACCATAAATAACCCGAGGACTGTAACTACCCATGACAACAGATTTATAGTATCACAAAGCTGGGCTAAGGAACATTAGCCTTACTGCATGTTTTCCACTACTATTTAACCAAAGCCTTAACTGTCACACTTTTATCTCATTGTATTTTTCCCTCTCACCTCTGGACATGTAAAACTGCTGCAGTATTTTGTAGATACTAAGAACATAACCAAGTTTAATCCTTTTATTCTTTTTTTCTAAACAAACCCCACTTGTTCAGCCTTCCCATAGACCTGATCAGTCAGGGTCACCCTCTTCAACAGACACAGGAGCAGGTGGCTCAGGGAGGTGGCCACAGCTGAGGCCTGTCTGTAAACCTGCAGCCAGAGGCTGTAAGTCTCTCATGACCTTGAAATACAATTCCTGGCACCAGACACAGCACTGCTTGTGAGACTTCACTGCACAGAACACCGTGGGAATGGCCTGCAAGATGTATGTCCATTTACACATCCTAGTATGGCATCTCCCTTTTTTAACAGCAGCATCGTATGACAGATGGAGGTAAGTCAACCTAATACACTTCCCTACCCTGTTGTTTACGGAACAGCTACCAAATGTAGCTGTGGTGTCCTGTCTGCGTTTACAGAGCTGGTTATTCCTGCCTCAGCACAGGCCTTTGTGCTTGCCCCACCAAGTTATTTTCTCCTTTATACAGACTAATTTATCTAGCTCACCCAGGCCCCTCTGAACCTGAACAGCATCTTCCACTGCATACTTCCTCTCTCAGAGGCTGGGTTCATCAGCAATCTTGGCAATCTGTAAACACAACGCTCACACAAATAAAAGCCATAAATTGTTGAAAGCGTGCCCTTAATTCTCCAGATTCTGATTCTGGCTGGTGAAAATAACAGGTTCTGCTTACAGCTGTAAGAATTAACATATTCCCCGTGTCTTTCCGTGACTTTTTTCAGTCCCTGGGCATACGTGACACGGCCTTCATCTCCAGCTGTGTCTGTAACCAAGATGCAGATCCACCTCTCGGGTGCATCCGCAGGCACGCCCAGTGATCACAAGCGGTTAGTGACCGCAACCCAGCGACATACAAGCTGTCTGAAGCACATAGCGGCGACAAGCAGCCACCTCACTCTGGGCCCGGGCTTTGGGGCTCCGGGCGGGCCCGGCCCCTCCGCGCCGTCGCTATGGCAACGGCGCCATCTTGGGTGGCTCTGCGTTGCTACGCGCCCGGGACGCGCCGCGCGCAGTGCGCAGGCGCGGAGGGGCCGAGGTGTCGGTTGCGGCGCGCGGGGCGTCGGCGGCGGGAAGATGGACGAGTTCCAGTCCGGGGAGGAGGTAACGGGGCGGGGGGTGTCACGGAGGGTGTCTGTCTGACCCGTCCCCAGCCCGCGGGGTGCCCGGGGGTGGGTCAGCTGTGTGTGCCGAAGGAAGGTCCGGGGAGGCAGCTGTAGGCGGGACACTGCTCTCTCTGCACCCCCTGAGGGAGACACGAAGTTGGCCAGATCGGGGGTCGTTTTCTTCATTGTGCTACGTGACTGTCGGGCAAGTGTTGCTCCTGCAGAGGGGCGGTTTTTTCCGAGCTGTGATGATTCGCTGCGTTGCTCTCCCGCAGCTGCGTTGTGGCGTGGGGAGACAATAGCGAAGCGGTGTCAGGGGGGAAGGTGTGTCGGGCTTGTGCTGTGCTGAAAGCCTTGTCCCGAGTGCAGGGCCTGGCCTGCCTTACACAGGGAGAGATGTTTTTAAAAACCAGATAATTAACATATTTGAACATCATTCTTACGGCTGTTCTCAGAAATGTCTCCAGAATTAAATTTAATGCTGCTTTGCAGTTTGTTTGGGTTTTTTTTCCCCTGGGAACGCCCCTTTTAAACAAGGCGTTGGAAACGTGAAAGTCTGCTTTTAATGTGCCAGAAGGGTAGTGCAGGGCAATCACACAGCTCCTGATTTTTTTTCCCCTTTATTTTTAATTTAAAAAGTTGTTTTATAATCTTACAAACGGATGGAATAGTGTTGTGTTATTAAGCAACTTAGAGCATGCGAACTACAGAGCTGGGTGTCAGGACATTTATGTTCCATTATTTCATATATCTAAATCCATTTATGCTCTCATCCCAAAAAAGGGATAGGTTCAAGAAGTAATAAAAACTTTAGAACCAAATTCTTACATGCATGTGTGGCTCTTTGCACTGGGTTAAATACAAGGGTGCACCTTAAATGTGAGCACCTGTAAAATCCAGTACCATGAAAACAAATGAGGCCTATTAAAATCAAATCAAAGTCAATAAGCTGAAAATAAAAGCCAATTTTCCACATCATATACAACCCTTTAAAAATAGGGAAGCGTGTGAGGAAGTTGGTGCCTCTGCGTAGTTACAGAAAAGGCATTGTCTGCACATCTCCCAGCATGTGCTGTTTCTTCTCCCAGCACACTTGGCTGCTTGCATCTCTCTGAGGGTTGCGTGTCATTGCAGCTGACTGGACTGTTCTCCTTCTGACCAGAAGTTTATGAAAGTAATGTTGAAGTCTCCCGAGTGGGTGTAACTATGTCCTGCCTGCACACCCGAGTTGTGCTGTTACATGTGCTGGCTGGCTGGAGAAGCTGATAGACCTCCGAATGAAAACTCAGTCAATGTATGCTTGATTAGCTTAATTTTGAAATCCTTATTCAGTCTTCTGAAATTAATTAGTTTGCTGCTGTGTGTGTTTCTGTTGGCTGATTCCTTTCTTCTGGTTCATGAGGTGAGGCTGGGAGGTGCCGTGTGGGATCCTGGTGGTTGGGCTGCCCCTGGCAGCACCTTGTTTTAACCACCTGATGTGAGAGGCAATAATGGCTGAGGGACTGAAACGGAAAAACACACTAACCCTAGAAGAAAAGAGGAAGTAGTGTTAAGATTAGTAAAATGTTGGGGCCTTCTCTGTCACCTTTCCTGGTGCTACTCCTTGGAGCTGGAGAGAAGGCTGAAGGTGGTGGTGGGAAGTCCCACAACCTACATTTCCCCTTTGGTTTCCAAGGGGTAGTTTTCTTTTTGTCCCCAGCTGAGCTTGTTGTGACAGCTTTTCCTTGAGCTGTGAATTCATATTTTGTCCAGGTCGGTGCCCTGGTGACATCAGTTTCATTTACCTATAGGCTGTGTCTGCACACTGAGGTTCTCTCTGCAACCCTGCTCAGTGAACTGGGGATATTAATGCATATTGTAAAATGAGAATATACATGTACAGAAGTGCTATGCATATTGTTTTAAAGTACTTTCAAATTAAAATGGAAAACTTGGATTCAAAAGGGCAGCCAATATTATTTTTTCTCTTACTTTTCATTACTTTGCTAAGAATGCTAACTTGGGTGGTTTCAGGGAGCTCCAGAGTATGTGTCAACAAATAAAGGAAGACTCAGTATCTTTGGATTTGCAAGAAATCTGACAAGGATAAATTAAACTTCTAGTGCATGTTCTTATTAACCAGTCTTGAGCTCTGTAAACAGAAGAATGTATACACTAATTATTTAAAACTCTACTTTTTTTGTAGACTACCTTTGTTGTTGATGAAGTTAGTAGCATCATTAAAGAGGTAAGCTAAAATTTTCATTCTCTTGGTGTGAACATATAGTATGTTATATGCTATGTGCTAAAAAGCATTCAAGAAAATCTGATAGATTTCTAGATAAGTGACTATCAAAGTATAGATAATGGTTGATTTAACCCATGTGTATACTTTAGGTGGAAATGATACCCAGCCTCAGTTATGATATGTATTCGAAATCCAGAAGATAATAGAAATAATTTCATATGCTCCTCTCTGCTTGCAGTGTATCCCTGTTAAAATTTCTAGGGGGATGTTGTATGCTAAGTCCTATAGAGGTTGATTTTATGTTTCAGTAATATAGAGAGGGTTTCATAGGCTATCTGCACATGCATGTTACTGTGTTCTTTGAGATGCTTTTCCTCTGAAATGAGGGGTTTTTTTTTGTTTGAAATGATTAAGCTGTCCTTGTTGCTAAGAAACATCAATTTCCTGTCTAGAAAATTTCCAGAGAGATTTGTTTTGTATCCAGAATTCCTCATGTAGACTAGACTAGTGCAATTTTTTTCTTGTTGCAAACCAGCTATTTTGTTCAGGCCCTGTAAATTGAATATGTATGCTTTAATACATCCTCCTGTCTCTTCTGAATCTGAAATAATCTTGTGGTTGTTCTTTAAACAGTTTCTGTGGGGAAAAAATGTAACTATGAAAAACACACAACTTTAATATACTTTTTTTGTATCGTAAAGGGGAAACTTATCATAAGTAAAAAGGATTATTTAGCTGAAGGCTGCTGCTCTGTTAGTAGCCAGCAACTGCATGTGTCTTTTGTTGTGATTTGGGTTTTTTTCCCCAAAAAATTATTCTACTGAAAGTTCATTTCTGTAGAAGGTTATGTGAATAAGCCATTGTTGTGTGCATTTTTTCAGTCTCTTCAGGACTGTTTAAGTGCAAGACCCTTTTCATGACTGTGGCTTCAATACATGGGAGTAGGAATTACAAATAAAGAATAAAAATATCAGAAAATGAAGAGAGGATGGAACCCATGGTAATTCCCCCTATACCTGTCTCAGACTCTGACCCACGAGGTTTTTTTAAGAATTGAAAATATTTCCAACAATCAGTATGGACAAGAAGTATTTAGGATTTTTTCTGTGGATATGGAGTCTCCTCTTTAGTGCTCTGTGGGATAGTGGCTGCCTCCCAGATTGATGACAGCACAGCTGATTTTACATGTTTGTCACCACCAGGCCATAGAAAGTGCGATCGGTGGCAATGCCTACCAGCACAGCAAAGTGAACCAGTGGACAACAATTGTGGTGGAACAAACGCTGAGTCAGCTCACAAAGCTGGGGAAGCCATTCAAGTATATTGGTGAGCTCAGCTTTCTCTTCTGCTAAAGCTGGTAACAGTCAAGTGCACTGATGAATACAGGGTGGGGTGAATATCTTGGCAAAAATAATGTCTGCCAACTAATCATAAGCCTGTGTGTGTGTGTGTGTATGTACTGTGCTAGCAACAATGTAGCTAATGTTAATTAATGCAAGCATTATATTAATAAAAGCTTCTCCACTGACTAACAGTGACCTGTGTGATTATGCAAAAGAATGGTGCTGGGCTACATACAGCAAGCTCTTGCTTCTGGGACAACTCCAGTGATGGTAAGAAACACAACTGTTGGATTTTTCAGCTTGCAATTTTAATGCTAGCCCCATTGAGACTAAGCAGCATACTTTTCTTTTTTTCCAAGTGCTGTACTTTTTGGGGTAACAGCACAGAGTTTGGTGTTTTTTCCATTTGGCTGTGATGCTAACTGTCATGTATAGGAAATGCCTAGCTGTTGTGAAAACTTCATCTTAAGATTCTTAATGTAAGCAATTACAAACATGCATATAGGGATATGCATTTCATAACTGTAGCTTTTTTCTCTCTCTGATGTCCTTTTTTTGTATTTGTAGGAACCTGCACTGTGAGATGGGAAAATAAGACTATGTACTGCATTGTCAGTGCCTTTGGACTTGCAATATAATTGCCTCGGAATAATTCGTACTCCTTTTTTCTACTCCAGCACTTGATTCCATCTCTACTCAAACTGTGAATACACTGAACAACTTCTGGGTTTAATGTACTTTTTAAGTAACCTTTTAAAAGTGTAGAAATGTGAAAACATGCTGTTACGTGGTTTTGTATTTAGTATCATACCAGTGTTGCCACACTGTCTTAACACTTCAATAACTTCTCTTCAAGGTGCTAATACTGAAGTCTGCTGCAGTGTAAACACTTTCTCTGAATTTCTTTTTTAAGACCAATATAAATGAGACACCAACTTTCCTACTTTGTACTTTTGGTTAGCATTAAATTATTGAAATTCATAACCATTGGTGTGATTAATTGAAACCTAACTCATTATTTACAAAAAAATCATATTCCAATTATTTTAATTCTGTTCAAGGGAGTTCAGATACATGTCATTAATCAAGGGTCTTCACAATTTTGCCAGTCACTACAAAATTGAAGAAAATGAGATCATGTTTTCCAGAAATGAACTTGACTGCATTTTTCAAATCTGTTTAATCTGATTGTATGGTATTTAGGTCACAGAACTGTAACAAAAAAATAACTCTTCATTGAACAAAAGTAAGATGTATATCACATTCTAGGAGTGCTCAGCTATACATGGGTAATCATTCTCTACTGCAGCCAACTGAACAGGTCTTAAACTTACCTTCTGCATTGATACTGCTGATAGTGTGATGTGTTCTGATCGTTAATGAAACATGATCCTTTCTGCAAGGGAGGAAAATCTGCCTCAAGGCAATGTAACTGAATAACTTACGAGTAAGTCTCCTGCCTTCTAGAGTAAAGTTGCAGAGGAATAACAGGTAAAACAAGTTTTCAGCAGAGGATTGGATAAGGTTTCCTTTGTGAGCTAATTAAAGAAATGGAAGCATGTTATGAACTTCAAACTGCCTCTGTGTACTGCTGTGCTGCTTTTATAAGCAGTAGCTCACTGCTAAGTCAAGTTGGAAGAATTACTTACAAAACAAGGATGGGAGAGTGTTCCTGGGCTGAGTATTCACAGTCTGAGTGACCTGTATTTGCTTCTATTAAGCCCTGTCAAATGTTTTCAGAATCTAGCTATTAACTAAAGCTGTTCAGATTGAGATGACAGCTGATACAACAGTATGTTTCTGTTACCTGGAAAGAGGTAATACAGAAAATCAAATTACAGTAGAAGATTTATTAGCACAGAGCTCTACTGAGCATATCCAAACAGACTGCAGAAAACGCTGTCAGTAGGGCAAAAAGGTTGTCTTCCCTAAACACCTCCATTCTTCTACCATGTCTTTGTGAGTGCTGCAGGGCTATACAGCATGTATACACCCTACTCTGAGGAGTAGGTACCTTCTATTTCTGTAGCAGAGAGTTTTAGCATGTGTTTTACTAGAAACAATACAGAGTATTCTGTGTCAGAAATTATACAATACTTGTAAAAAAAAAAAAATTAAACCAGGATAGATTGCATTAAGTGCTTCAAATAGTCACCAGGGCAAGAGAAACTGGTCACAAAGGGAATAAATCTTTGATCTCTGAATTGCTAAGGAAATCTTTTATATGCATGGCTGGGTACTATATCTCCTTTCCATCAACATGCCAGAATAATGGTGGTACTGTAGCATCTACCCAGCTATTTATTTGTAGTTAAAATAAATAGTTGTTGCACTTTGAGTCAGTATTTACTTCTAGATATTCTTGGCTTCTTGGTCAAGCCACTTAAACTTTCTTTGTCCTTCATGTTAATAGTAGCAAACCTTTGGGTTTGTGTTGTTGGTTTTTTTTCCGTTTGTTGGTTCACTCATGCTGAACTGCAGAAACAAACACCTCTGAGATGCTTGTCAGTGTAAAAGCTGTATGGGAGGAAAAAACCCTGTTGCATTAACACACAAGGTGTGCTGCAGAAAGGAGGTAGAGTTCTACAGGTTGTTTTGCATGCAAGCAATAACCAGTGCTTGCAACGTAACAGAGATTGGAGTTTTGGGGGGTATTTGTTCCCCCCACTCCCCAACACTGAATTAAGATAGGGCTTTTCTGTAAAATACTACAGAGGTGTATTATAGTCTTGCTGTTGTTCACTTACTGATTTTTTTAAATCTTAATAATCTAACCTTACTTTTTCAAAGACTGCTGGCCAGCTCACCTCAATGCTGAAATAGAACATTAGAGTGATTTGCTGGCAAAGTCCGTAATTAATTTGCTGTAAAAAAACAACACAACAACAACAAAAAAAAAAACAAAACCCCACAATCTGTGAGCTGGAGTCGTCAGGAAGGTAATTATAAACTCAGTCTCTGTTTCAATCAGAGGCATATCAGTGGAGGGGGAGGGAGGTCATAATTTACTGTGACTGTCATAGATGAGTCTGTCCTGTCTGCCACATTTAACTGAAACCTAAAGAAAATTACTTCAGAATTGACTGCTGCTGGTAAGGAAGCCCTGACATGTCTGATGCTAAAGCAGGAGTAAGCTGAGTAGCCATTTGTGCAGAGATGTTTACAGCCAGTTTATTCAGCACATGAGATTTCAGTCTCTCCTCAAATTTGAACAGGGAAGGGCATCACTCCAATTGGAGGGTGACAGGCTGATAATTTTTGCAGCCTACCAGCTGTGAGGAGATTCTTGAAAGATCATAGAAGCTTGAAGATCATAAAAGCATAGAATCATTTAGGTTGGAGAAGATCTTGAAGATCATCAGCATCTTCACTGTCTCTAAACCTCTTTTCAACAGAGGCCAGTGGGTTGATGGTGGGGCAGCCCTTGCTGAGTGTGCTGAGAGGTTGCATCACTGCAGGGGAACTTAGAGCCTGGCTGGCAGGAAGGCAGCTGGCACTGATTCCGGGGTGAATGTTTTACTGCCAGCATGAGCACAGCAGGCTGTGCAAAGCCACTGTGAAGCCATTTGGGAATGCCAATTCCCCTTTGTAAACTGGCTGGTGTAGTTCTTAGGAAAATTAGCAACCTGTTCTTCCTCCTTCCAAGACCAGGCAGGGTAATGAAAAAAAAACCAACACAAAAAGGTTAATCCATGCTGACACAGGCTCCTGGATACTATCCTTATACAATTAACCAAGTTTAAATATGCATAAGAAAATACACATCTACTGAAAAGATGTGTAATATAAAAGTGGTAAAGTCAGTTATTCACTAGAAGGAAAATAAAACCAAGATACAATGTAAATATATAAAATTTTATTATGAACATATTTAACAATGATTACGCACATGAAGTCTTCCGAGAACTCAATATCCAACTTTTGCTTTAAGTAAAATATTTTTTCCTTCATATTTCATATAGCATTTAGTTTTCTGATACAAATGGATAATTTGCTGTCAATTGACACAACTGCTAAACACAGAATATTTAACACATCCTCATGCACACTTCCTCAAAGCAGCATTTAATTACAGCTTCTCATTAAACAGAGCATTTATCTTACACGTTTTTATACCATTTTGGTACACAATTTTTCCATATTTTCATTTTACATATTTACAAACTTCTAAAAAAAAGTTTTACAGTAATGCAAAGGTTATTACTGGCATAAGCAAAAGGAAACGGGGTAAAAGTTAGTTGACTGGATACAAAGTTGTCTTTTGGCTCAAAGAAAGACAGCAGATCAAAGTCTTTTCTAGCTAGAACCATCCTTCCACTTTACCTCAGTATTAGTTCCACTGATCTGTTGCACTGGCTATTCCTTCTGAGTGTTGAGCCTTATCCTTCCTGTTGCCAGTCCTAGGAAAGTTTCCAACCAATTTACTAAAAAAAATGGTTGCCATGAATGGCTCACAGCCAGTGATTACTGATTTCTTGAAAGACCCTCTTGATCATTGTGTACATGGAATTCTTGCAGTTATGTAAAGATGACATCCCCTTTAGAGCAGGAACTCTGCATACTTTTCTCATTTCATACAGCTCCACTAGTGATGAAAATAATTAATTACTTTTGCAGTAATGAAAGGAAAGCCAGGCTAGTTTCTTATCCAGATTGTTTCACCCTTAGGTTACAATACTTGACTCAGAGGTGAATTTATGCTGCCTAATCCCAATCCAGATTGTAATATTCCTCAAATACCATCTCTGCTTTTCACTTGTGGCAGTAAAAGTGACATTGAGATTTCTGCCTAGCAAAACTACTTCCTCATCTGTTTCACTGCTTTTGCCTTCTTCCTGTGTATTAAATTTGATGTGACAGTCCTTCAACCAAGCTTCCCTTTACACTCTGGCACTTCTGAAATATAAAACGATTTTGCATGGCAAACACTGCTTAAATATAAACTCTAAAAATTAACATGGAAACTATTTGTTCACTATTTTTGTAGTGAGATAACTTATATTAAGTACATATTTCTCATTCTTGGCTTTCCTGTTTCCACTTGGTATGTAGTGATGCAGAAAAGTTTATGCAGACAAAATGGCAAGGGAAATGGGCTTAGAACAGTTTAGGAGAAAATAATAATGGAAGGTTAAATAACCAATATTTTCTTTAGTTAATTACATCCCAAAGCATGACACTGTTTTTGAGGGCTAACTGTAACAACCAGTTCAGACTGTGACAAGAAACATTACTATACTTTGCAAATTGGTCAAATAAAACACTGATGTTTTCAGAACAATTTAGAACAATGCAACAGTATCACAGCCAAAAAGATCTGAATAGATAAGGATCATGTAAATATCAATTTTTTAAAGCTCTAATTCCTGTACCCACTGTTACTCCAGTAGAAGTTGAAAGGATTTATGGTACACAACAGATGCCTACTTGGTTCCCAAGTCTGACTTTGCAAGTTCAGCTGTGAGCAGCAAGAGAGTCAATCGTGGAATGGTACAAATTACTCTGTTCTTTTGGGATACAGAGCTCATCTTCCACACTTGTTAAAAAAAAGTCTACAAGGAAGTGCTGAAGGTACAGCTCACTACAGTTCACTGGAAAAAATAATAAACAAAAAACCCCACAAAAAACCCAACAAACCACCACTACCTTGAAATACTTCTTTAATGCTTTCCTGTATGTTCTTCTAAACTAACACTAATTAATTAAAAAATGAAAGGAAGAAACCTTCCCCTCCTCCACAGCAGTTTCCTTGTTTTAGCCATATAATAATACTTTGGCTTTTAACAAATAAATGATCCCTGGCACAGAAAGGTTTAAATTTCAAATACCCTCAAGAAATTCACAGCTCAACATAACGTGAGACAAGTTTTCTTGCTTGCACACTCAGGGTATCTTAGCTCACTTGTATTTAGCAGAGCACTGGTTTAATCTGAACTAACCTATGACAGCAAGATGCAATCACATGAAGCAGTTTCCTTGGTCCT